ATCAATCTGAAGCCTTTTTCTCAGCTTCGTTTTACTCCCTCGTGAGAAGTAGCAGCAGCAGCATGCTGGCTGAGCCTCACATTGATTAGTGTTCCTGTGTAAAAGTCTTTAAATACAGCCCCACAGGCCGGGGACCCGTGTTCATGAAGGAGGCTGTAGCTCTCATGAGTCAGTCTGGAGCGGGTCCAGAGGGAGTGTGGCTGTGTTTGTGTTTCTGGAGTGTGTGTACTACAGGTGTACTTAAAACCAGGTATGCTGATGACACTGGGGTGTCTGTTTCCTGTCTGTGTGTGTTATTACACACACACATTCTTGAGGCTTTGCCAGGATTGACGGTGTTTATAAAGCCCTCTGATTTCTCTGTTGTGTTTTTACTTTGTGCCGGTTCCGTTTGTGATTCCTGAAATTCTCTCTGATCATTCTTCTAGGGCGGCGTTAGGGAGATAAATTTCAACCCGGCTCACAGCCAGCTGCAGCTTGCTGCTATATTAGGACTGATTCCTAAAACCTACAGAAGACTTTTTCTCATTTGGTTATTTTAATCTTGTAAATTTGTTATAGTAAAATGTATAAATGTATTTTAAATTTCTTTTATGTCAGCTGGTAATGGTCCAAAAGTTCATTTATGTCAGTAATTCAACTTAAAAGGTTAAACTAATACGAGACTGACTCATTACATGTAAACCAGCTATCTGACGCCTTTATTTTTTATTATTGTGTTTATGACTTACAGCTTATGAAAACCCCACACTCAGACTATCAGAATATTGTGAAGCATTCTGGACTGAAAGTGTTGCGCTGTAATCAGCTAATGACTCCAGAACACCTGCAAAAGGCTCCTGAGCCTTTAGATCAGGGGTGTCAAACTCAAATTCACACTGGGCCGAAATGAAAAAGTGTCGAAGCTGCGGGCAAAACTCTTTTTTTTTTTTTTTTTTTTTTTTTAAAATGACAGCAAAAGTGCACATTTTCCTTTGTCTACAGATGTGTGTTGCTGAATCTTTTCATTTGGAAACAAACTTATTTTTACAGTAACACCGAATGTGGAATAACCAAAATTACACACAAGCAAGTCAATTAAAAAACAAAACACATATTAGTGATATTTGTTACCTATGTCTCAATATTTTCTTCTTTTTATACCTTAAAATATGTATATATTCAGCGTTATTTTTATTTATTTATTTATTTGTTTGTAATTTTGAATCTTTTTAGTATTTCTATTTTATGTTTTCTTGTTGTTTACTCTTTATTCTTATTTTATACTCTCCCTTTTTTCTCCTGTATTAAATGTCATTGCTACTGTGACACCAAGCTTTCACCGACGAGTAACAATAAAAGGATTTTCTATTCTGTTCATCTATCTGTAGTCTTTCCAGTTCCTGTTTAAAAGTAGATTCAATCTTTTTTCACGGGCCAACAACAACAAAAACAAACAAAAAAGAGGGTAATTCTCTTAATGAAAAAATTCATTATCTCACCTATTAACTTTCATGCTTTGGAGCAGAAAAAGTGCATAAAACCAAAATAATTCAAGCTCAGTTTGCTCCACTCTGTAATCGAGGCTAAGCTGGTTCCTGTTGTTGGTATGTTCAGTTAGGGCTGGGCGATATGGCCTCAAATAAATATCACAATACAGTGTTTCCCCTAGGAATTTTTCCAGCTGTGGTGGTGTTGGGGGGGGGGGGGGGGGGGGGGATATGACAAGTCTCACCCTTATGTTTTATTTGATGCACTCCACTTTGAACTGCACCAATCCAGCGACTGCTGCATTGTAATAACTAGTATTAAAGGTGAGTACACCAATATTTGCACAATAATAATTTCTGTTTTAAACTCTCAGTGACACACTTTGCAGGGTGGATTTGGCATTTAAGTTTTCTTGGCGTCTGGAAAAACATGTTTTGCCCCCTTTATTTGACTCTCTGCCCCCTTTATTTTGGTCCAAGATCATTACTGGGCTGGCCCTAATAAAAACGTTCTACCCCCCTGCTTAGTAGACTTAATGGAGTATTTTTTAGCCAGTATAAAAATGACTGAAACACAAATTTACTATTTGGCATTATTGACCAATATTTTTGATTTGATTTATTTGTTAAGAACATCAAGATGCATTACAATGAACATTATAATAAGCTGGACACTGTGCGACTTTTTCACTCGTAACACAGCTTCAGCTCAAACTGTACGACTTCAGCGCAGGGTAGATCTCACGAGTCATGTGCTCACATACGTCTGGTAGCAACACGTCGGACCTAAAATATGCTAAAAATAGCAGTTTTTACACAACACGTCAGACTTTTTTGTCATTTTGCCTGTTGTCCTTCGGGAGTGCTGCAGGAGGACACACGGGGATTTATGGGGGTTGGATGAGGAAACGAAATAAAGAAAGTAAATCTGTGTTTTGTGATCAGTTTAATTTGACATGAACACGACAAACACGCTTTCTTGACAATCTTTGTGAGTAAAAAAACGTGTAGAAATAAAAACGAACAGCGTGTGTTATTAGGGAAATAGCGGGCGAGCGGAGTTGATGCAGGATTGCGAATGCGCCGTGATCGGCTCTGATACTTTTTGGGTCGCAGCTGCTCGCAGCGCCGCTTCAACCCTCATGAGGAACGAGATAAATATTAAACACTCCAGAAGTCCGTGCGAGCTCACGATTGCTGATCGGTAGCTGGTCACGTGGTGTTAATCGCCTCTCGACGCTCAGCGCAAAACTCGCCCCGATCGTGTGGATTCTCGCACGAGTGGAAAATCTGCTCAAAAAAAGTGAAAAAGTCGCACAGTGCACGCCCGGCTTTACTGTCTGTGTGTGCGTTGATGCCTGGACCGAGCTGACGGAGCTCCCGGCTGCAGTTTTGCGTGTAGGGAGGGCCGGGCGCTCTATCTGACTGGCCAATCACAGAGCTTGAAGACAGCCAGTTACCCAATGAGAATTTCATTCAGCACGATTACAGATATTTCCGAGTTTTACACTCGTTTCATGCTCGTATTCGTCAAAAATGCTTTATCCGTACGCTCATAGCTGTAACCACCCTGCCTTGCCTCCTCCTCCTTGCTACCTGCCGGCTGTGATCACAAGCAACAACACAGTAGTTCCTGCTGCTTCTTCGGGAAACGGCGCAAAAAAAAAAAAACAATACAACTTGGGATGTTGTAGGTGTGGCGGTGGGATTTCAGCTATGTAAGGGAAACCCTGCAATATATTGAGGATTTCACCTCGATAAAGATGAATGGACGATAACTACAGGTATGTGCAGAGACAAAAGTTGTCCACTAGATGGGGCTGTCACATGTATTATGTTGAGTCACATTTTTATGCGACTCAAGGTGCTACAGCTTCTTACAGGGACATGAATGTTGCCAACCTACACACACATTTCCATTTTTTTAATTAAATTTATTGACATGGAGAAAGATTATCTCGATAAGAGTCACAAATTTTGATAACAATAAATTTTTGATTTATTGTCCAGCCCAATGTTCCGTTATTATTTGCATTTTTAGTTGCAATAGACTAAACTAGAGCTCAACCAATGTGTTTTTTTTATATCCAATACCGATATTTTCCACCTTATTTACATGCTAAAATGTCACAAACGGCACGAGATTTCTGAACCTGAATCAGTTTTGAACACTTTTTCAAACAACCGGTAAACGATATTAAACAATTAACCAAAATTAATCAACCATATCAATAAACTAACCAATATTTAAAGATACAAAACAAGTAAATTAACATCAGTTAATGTTTTAGAGCATTTTTTAAGCAAGTTAATCAAGAATAAACCCTCATTTTTCATCCTTTCTTTCACTTTCTTGTACACTCTTTTTGGTTTTTGTGATGCTTCTGGTTCATTATGTGTGTGTGTCTTCATGTAGTCCGTTAGCATATATAGTGGCGGGGCCGATGTAGCATGTTTTTGTGTTATTTCATTAAAAGAAATCTGAGGGAATCACTTGTCCTATTTGTGCCCCATGAGGATTTGAATGCACCATTTCCTTTGCAGTTACTAGATTGGCACTCACTGAGTGAGCAGTTGGACTCCGAACTGGAGCATGAATGTCTTGGGCCGTTTCTCAATATGCATACTTGCCCAAACTTGTGTACCCACGTCCTTGTGAAACGTCATCAACGATGGCCCATCGTATCGAGAATGCATCGATGCATCATTCTGCGGACTTGGGACAGCAAAGTTTCCCAAAATGCATTGCGTCGCAAACTGTTAAACTCCGAACGTTAGAGGAGAAAGCTTATAACTGTAATGTTTTATATTAGAAACATAAATAATCTAAAGCTGTCTGTAAATAATTGTGTGTAAACTGCAAATTTTGCTGTGTATGCTTGGGTTTTACTCGATCCTTCAAAATGCTAATTAGCTAACCCACTGTCAAAGTAATAGCACCGTAGGTCTGTTCTGATAAAAAAATAAACTTTTTATTCATTAAAGATGCTAGTATTTTAATAGTTTTGATCTAAAGTGTGCCAAATATAGTACAAATAATATGTTTTTGTTGTTATTTTGCTATTTAAGGAACAAACTAGACTTTTGTTTTTATGTCAGGTCATTTTTTTAACTGTAGCAAAAAGCAGCGTGTGTTGCCAGGACACAACGGAGTACGGTTCTGTTCCAAATGCCGTCCTCGTCCTCCCGTACTCGGTAGAACAGACTTTCTGGTGTCCTTACCAAGAACGTAATTGTCTATTACGCAAGAACGTACTAACGTCCTTAAGTATTGGGAAACGACCTTGTTCTCTTTTTCTCTTAATCTGAAGAGTCATGTAGTAAAAATAAAAAATAGAGCTCGGTTGAGCTTGTTTGATTGTGTGAGCTCTTAAATGACCGAAAAGCTCAAGTACTATAAACTGTTTGGATTGCAGGCAGGACATAATGGAACTATATAACTTGTGCTTTCTCTATAATGGATGGGTGGCGCTGCACAAGAATCATTGGTGGCTCTTTCTGTTTAACGTCTGTCAATGTGTGCAATCCCAGCCGTGTTGCCTAAGAGCCTCGGAGTGCTGACAGAGGGAGGTGTGGAGAGCCCCGCCATGAATGCCACCCCCACAGTGGGTAGACCCCCGGGTCAGAGAGGACGTAAGCCGGGCCGCAGGAAAACAAAAGTGACGGGGTCCTGGAGTCAAAAGGCTTCTGGCTTGATAACTCAGAGCATCCACTCAGAGAAAAGTTCAGAGCCCATCAAGATCCCCAAAAAACGAGGACCTAAGCCCGGTAGTAAGGTAGGTTGGGGGGGGGCTCTGTTTCTGCTCCTGTTCTTGCTGCTAACGGCTAATGTTTGTGTAGCTTTAGCCTGCTGCAGGTAACCTGTTAGATGTCTGCATGTTAAGGCATTTACACACTAGCATCGGCTCAACTCGGCCTGGATCATGTTTGGAGTGTTCTCATTTGGGAAGCCTTGGGTTTTCTGTCGCTGGACATATTTTTAGACTTCTTCCCGAGGTGTTCTGCCTCGAGCCAAACCGGTCCAACTGCTGACTGATTGGCCGGCTTAAAATCATGCCTACCATTAGCCTGTGGGGGCTTCTCGCATGCACCATTCATTATCATTCTGTGGAGTGAACGAGCCTCTGCTATTTTTCTCTGTCTCTCACTGCTGTGAGGAGCGCATGCACACACACACACACGCACACATACACACAAACACACACACACACCGTGCAAAGACACACCAAAGCAGAGTCAGAGTCTCCAAAAGCAAGACTGCTCAGGCCACGTTTGTTTAATAATGGAGACACTGCGAACTTCCCTGCGCTCTTTTTTCCCGCCCACTTGCTTCGTGCAATCATGACATCACTGATACCTATTTTTCATGCCAATTTTGGAGACCGCCCATGTGCCCAATCACGTCCACATTTCTAAGGTGGTTTGGAACGAACGCGGCCAGGCTGGGGCGGGCAGAGAGGAGTGGAGCCGATGCTAGTGTGTAAGTGGTTTATATTGTTGCCGCTAGGGGTTGGTCTCGGAACACTTGGAACTGTTTTGTGGTTGTCGTTTTTATATCTTCTGTGGGTAAAGTAATAGACATGGATCTGCTTTGTGCTGATTTAAAGTGACAGTGTGTATTTTCCCTGGCGATAGGGGGCAGCAGATACCTAAATTTTTGCAAGCAAGCAGTATTTTTGTGTTGGAGTAAGACTTTACCAATGGATGCCCATTAGGGTCAAAAAGCCCTGGGGAGTGCAAACGTTAGCAAAATAACAAGCACATCAGACTCCATTTCATCACTGGCAACAAGTGAAGAAGTAAATGTGTAAAACAACAACAACAACCATTTGTTTCAAATCGGTAAATGCATTTTGTCCTCATGGGCTTCTGTAGAAGGAAACATGGCATCTAATATGGCGTCGCCCATAAACTTAGACCCGCTCCCATGTATTTCAGACCTGATTTTTATGGTTATATGTTACGAAGCCACCAATATTTTTCAACAACTGAGCATCATTTCATTGATTTTCAACAAAATATTGATGGATATTTCCAGAAATTAATGGTAAAAACTACACATTGTCTCTTTAAAAGCTCTTTTTCACATTTTCCTTTCTTTAATATGTATTGGGGTTCACAGTAATGATGGTGTGCCTGGTCTTTACTTTGTGTTCTCTTAGCAGCTTGGCTGGGCAAAGAGGGTCGGCTGGTTGGAGGAGGCCATGGCTGGACCGGGTCGGCCGGTAACTGGACCGGGACGAACCAGAGGCAGGCTACTGGCCAGCTGGGCTCAGAGGATCATTTTGCAACAAGCCAAAACTCCGGCAGAACCGATAAAGGTTCCAAAGAAGAGAGGGCCCAAGCCCGGCAGCAAGGTAGTCGTCTAAAACTTTATTTCACTCTTTTTTTGTTGAACGTTTAATTCTAATGAAGAATGTCACAATAAATCACTTTTCATGTTTTTAATCTTTGCAGATTGGAATTTACCTATGAAGCGTTGTGAGTTTTGTTGTGATTGTGTGTCCACACAGAGAAAACCACGAGTGATGCCTAACCCAGTCCCCACGTCTCCCACCAGCAGCACCCCAGAACCCGACACCAGCACTGTGCCCCAGGACAACGCCACCATCCCCAAGTCTGCCCTCCAGGCTCCCACAGGTACTCGGCCTCCACAGGCCCAGGCTGGATGCACCAGTGTGTTGCAAACAGGAATTTCACATTTCAGCCCATCTAGGTAAAAAAAAACGTGGAGATCGCGTAACTTCTTTTTGTGTTTCCCTCCTAAAGTGTGCGTGTACCTCAACAAGTACGGAAAGGTGGGACCCCACTTGGATCCGAGGCGGATCCAGCAACTCCCAGACCACTTTGGTCCGGGTCGAGCCTCTTCGGTTCTGCAGCAGTGTGTTCAGGCTTGTGTGGACTCTGCCTGCAACCAAGCGACAGTCTTCTCCTGCCTCAAGTCCGGACAAGGAGGCGAGGTCATATCAGGTGTGGACGGAACTTTAAACATGAACTCAGTGCTGCTGTCTCAAAAACACAAGTTGGCATTATTAACAACAATCTGACATTGAAAGTAGGGCTGGGCGATAGAACAATAGCAATATATGTTTTGAAATAACCTTTTCTTAATAAACATATCTGAATGGGTTGATAGAAATTTGATCTGAAAAAGAGTCACACGGCTCAGTAACGGCCAGACGGAAACGCGAATAACGGCTAATGTTTGTGTAGCCTTAGCCTGCCGCAGGTAACTGGTTACACAAATGGTAAAAATGAGAAAATGGGGAAGAAAGAGGAAGGAGGACACAGTAAATGTCGTCGTTATGGACCAAACAGTTCATCCATGTGGACATAGTTTGGCTAGTAATGTCGTAGCTGATGTTGAGTGCAGGTTCTGACAAAGTCGAGGAAACCGCTAATCTGTCCGAGCTCAAGAAGCAGCTCCACGCGCTGGAGCAGAAAAATCCCAGATGAGTCGGCTTGAAGAGATTTACTTTAAGAACATTGATTTCACTCCTCTGTACGACATGCTCCAGAGCCAAAAGAGAAGGTCAAGACCGAGCAAGCGCAAATCTCAGCAGACTAAGTGAATCGATCCCTGCACAATCAATACATTTAAAACCAGAGAGAATTTGACAATTTATAATTCAATGCCTTTTTTAAGGAGTTTTGTTCTCTGATCCTTGAAGAACCTCTTTTATTTTTCTTGAACAGGAATATGTTTGATGACAAGTTCAGCTTTTTTAAAAAGATCTAAAAATAACTTTCTGCTATCTTCAAATGCCAATTAAACGTTTCAGAGAGCATAAAAATTTGACAAAAATTGTGATCTATTTTTATTTTTTTAATATCGTGATCTATATCAACCAACATGTAGTTCAGTATTGTGATGTGATGTTTTTCCGTATCACCCAGTCCTAATTTAAAGTAAACTTTGGCGAGTTTATTGATCTCTCTGCTTTATTTGTGTTTTTCAGCCTTTTTTAACAAGCAGCAGCACACCCTGACCCTCCCTACAGTCAGCAGCGTCACGTACGTTCTCCGCTTCCTGGAAAAACTCTGCCACAACCTTCACTGTGACCCTCTGTTTGGCAGCCAGCCAGTAGCCAGGGGAAGCCTTCACTATGACACTCACTCATACACTACAGGTCAGAAGCACTTCTCTTATTGCTCCTATGCTTTTAAGTTTATATTCTGACTTTAATAGTGTCTCATGGGAATCAGGTGTTTGTTACGTCTACAGAAGTTTTTAAAAAGCTGAGTTTGAAGGTGCAATAAAGGCAGAGTTTTAGTGATTTTTCAGTCTTTTATTTTTATTTTTAAGGTGTAAATCATTCTATTTTCTAATCCTGGGATAAACAATTAATTATTGAAGCAACACTTTCCCCACTTGTTTCTGTCCTGATCTGCTCTGTAAATAACAAAATAGACCAAAACGCAACCGAGACTCTCAAACTGAAGAGGCTTCTGAACAGATGACCTTTTTATTTATGTGTCTGATTCTTTGAGCTTGTTGGGCTTTCCACAATCTGAGCCGCATATTACATCTAAAGCACACACCGCTTCTTCCGTGTTGCTTCATGTGGCACAGAAGTCTCTAGCCGTGTCACAGCTGCTGTTATTTCCTCCTTATGTGCTGATTTTAGAGAGGAGAGGTTGTGGAGACAGCCTGACCACTGGCCCAGGCCGAGGCACCAAGCGCTCCCATCTGGACTTCAGTAGTCCTTTGTCTCAGAAACTTGCAAAAATCCCCCGACTCATCACTGATGGTATGCAAGTTCATTAAAGCTTTTCTAAAACGAAGCTTTTTGCATTAAAAAGGTCAATTCTTGGTGGACCACGTTTAAGACAAAGTGTTTAAGAACTGGCTGCTCTGACTTGTGCAGCAAAGCTTTAAATAAAGGAGTTTGTTAAACAGGAGCAGATAGGAGGAGAGCAAGTGGTGTGAAGTCTTAGGAGAAGGAGGTTAATCATGTAATCATTTTTCAATTTCCTTAGATTTTAATTAGATTAATGGAATATTTAAAGAGCTTCCTTTAAAACACTGAGGCCTAGTCCACACGTAGCCGGGTTCGAATATCCGCCCCTCCAAAAACTTGTATCCACTCCACCTCGTTTAAAAAAAAAACTCTGTCCACACGTACCCGGATAAAGACGTTGTTAAGGACATGCCAGACCTGTAGGCGGCAGTACTTCCCCCGTTCTTAACCTCGTCCTTCGTCTGTGGTCTTCCGCAAGGAGCAGTAATTCCGCTTGCAAAAACAAACAAGCAAAAAGCGCTTGGACAATTGATAAAGCGAGCGCAGCTCTGAGGGCATCCATGCTGTCGGCTAGTGTAAACACAGGTCGCACACGTGATGTCAGCACTTTTTTGTCGCGGAAAGTGACGTTGCGGACCTTAAAACTCCGGTTTTGTCTGTCCACACGCAGACACCCAAAACGGAGAAAACGCAGATCTTCACTTTGGCCGGAGTTTTTAAAAAGATCCGTTTTCGTGTGAAAAAACTCCGTTTTCGTGTGGATGACAGGCCAAAACGTAGAAAAATATCTACGTTTTGGCAGATCCCTGGCTACGTGTGGACAGGGCCTGATATCCTCCCTGAAAGTGCCCGTGCCATTTTACTGAAGCCCATAACACACACTTAAATCACAGGGTGAGCCATCGGGATAAACTTGTTTCTGTTTTGTTGGAATCTTTTGGTGACGGTGCTCCTGCTTTCTCCACAGGTGAGTCATTCAGTGAGAGCAAAGTTGGAGGACCAGAGCACTTAAAGAAGGTCCCCATCCCCTTAAAGTCCCCGGGAGCGACCCCTGGACCCAGATCTCCATCCAAACTGCTTCATCCTAACACCTCCACGGGTAGGGAACCCATACATTTTGGTTGTCAATACAGTTGGTGTGTTGTATTTAGGATGGGTTTATTATTTCTAAGGTGTTGACACGTACCTTTTATGTTTGTATAGAAACTGTTTTGAGTAGAGCTGCACAATGTTACGTTTCAGCAGCGACATCACAGCGTACGTGGTAGCTAGGGTGGGGCATCAGTTGGAACGGGGACCATTTTCTCTCGGAATTGTACAAATTTTCTAATTCCGATTTATAGTTTGAACCAGATCCACTGCGGAATACCAACAAAGAAGAATCTGCCAGAGGTTTTTGCCTTTCCGTGCAATCGTCGACAACGAGCCGAGGAGAAAGATCGTAGAATTAAAATTCATGTAGAAGTTCAGTTTGTTTTGTCAAGTAAGACCTATAGTTAGCTGGCTCATTTAATACCTGCAGTTTTCCTAATCGGGAATTGCTAGGAATCTGAATCAAAACAAGGACTTTGAATCGGAACTGGAATTGTTTAAATTCAAATGATACCCAACCCGAGTGATAGCCACATTAAAAGACCCGCTATGGTGTTGGAGAACTCAACGATATATTGGTTCAAGATACACGTGAGAATGGGGGGCGACCCCTTAGACCTGTCGACCAGTAGTTGGAAGATGTTGCCCCAGCAGAGGGGGTAACCCTTCACCGGCTGGCTCAGGTAACGTGCCAGTCTAAAGTTTGAAGCTAAGATGAGGATGCTAATGGCTACGATGAAAACTTTGTTAGAAAGAGACACGTGAAGGAAAATTAGATTTTTTCAGGGGTATTTTATGTTGGATTGTGGACATAAGACTTGTGAACCAACACTTTTATTAGAGGACATTAATTGGGGCCTTGTGGATGTAAAAATACTGTTTTGTTACATGATTCTGCTCTCGATGACGTGAGGCTTTGACCTGTAAGTTGGAAATTATTTTTTTGTGTCCGAAGGTTACCGTAATTTCCGGACTATAGAGCGCACCTCAATATAAGCCGCACCAACAAAAAAAAAGGTTTTCTACACACGCCACACTCAAATACAAGCCGCGGCGCAGCAGGCGCATGTATGGCCATAACATAAGATAATTAGACAGAAAGACGCTACACAGAGGTTTTTCGTTGTTGTTTTAATTCAACAAAACGAATTTTAAACATGGGTGAATGTGCCTGCAAGTTTAGAAAAGAAAACAGCGCTGATAGCATTCTTATTTCTGGATGGTTATTTCTGGATGGTTCTAAAATAAAAACAGAACTGACACGTTATTACCGGTAATTTGCATGTTTAGAAGAAAAGAACAGCGCTGACACAGCATTAATAAGCCCTGGATGATTAGAAAATAAAAACTGCACACAAAACATGCCTGGTTAGTAAATAAACAGGGTTCCCACGCGTCCTGGAAAACTTGGAAAACCTGGAAAATGATAGTCCAATTTTCCAGTCATGGAAAACACATGGAAAATGGGGGGAATTGCAAAATGTCCTGGAAATTTTTGAGTTGTCCTGGAAAATAATTTTCCCTCCTTGTGGATAAACAAACGGATTATTGGGCAATATTGGGCTGCAGCGCTTCTCCTTTCATTTCTGCATCTAGCTGGCACAGTGCCCCACATGATGCTTCCAACCAATCAGATTGCATATTCCCCTTCAGTTCCAGTTCCACTTCTGTTTTTCTAACTGTTTTTTTTTTTTTTGCTAGATTTACAGATTTTTCACCCCTAGATTTATTTCCCCAAAGAAGGGCCAAAAGTAGCGACTCGGTTCACGAGTATTGCTTTATTGCAGTTTATAGAGTGAGAGGTTTTTCTCCTTCTCTCTGTTGAGTGACAAAGGAGCAGCGGAGAGCTTTTGTTTTTTTCACTCTGCATTGAGACGAGCGAACCTGACGAGAGCTTCAGGATAGCAACGGATAGCAGGTAGTCTACCGGACCCGCGCTCCACTCAGTAATTCATACTAGTTCTATCGTCCGACAGCAGAAACAAAAATATGTGAATGAGAAAAATGTCATGAATTTGATTCTATCAAAAATACTAAGTATGTGCTCAGAGGACAGAGCCTCAGCTGTTCATACTGTTTTTAGCTAGCTACACAGACCGCAGCCAGGAGGCAGTGAGAACTGAAGACTGGCATGGTCGTTTGAACAAACTTGTTAACGTAATTAAATTGAATTCAACACGGCTAAATTAATAACTAGAATGATTTTAAGTGGTAACTATATATTTATCATAGTAACGCTACGTACAGTCCAGACTAAAAAAGTAGCAAACAACTACAAGTACTTATCTCTGAGGTAGAAAAAAAAATTTTTCTCAGGTCCAATATGTCTGTGGTGTTAGCGGGAGATATTAGCCTAGTCATCTACCCTGAATCTTGTTTCTGGATGACTGGACTAACCTAAAATGACCAATACTGGAACAACAAAATGCAGTTTAACATCCAACTATGTGAAATAAGCAGTAAAGTGTAATGTGGTGTGTACAGTAAGTATAATACATAGAATATGAAAGATATGAAAGAGCTAAGGTTTGAAAAGCAGGCCTAATTTATTGAATAAACAGTCAATATAAACAGTAACAATCTTTCAAAATATGTCTTTGTGTCCTTTATAGGCAGGAGAGTGTGATGTCAGGAAGACGGTGCAAATTCAAAACTTTTCAAAACTGGCTTTTTGCTAGCCCCAAGACTCTCTGCCTGTGTGTTGGGGTTTACCCCGGGGGACGAGAGGGTAGCTTCCCTGCGCCTTCGGGTCGGGGAATGGGTCCTGACTGTTGTTTGCGCTTATGGGCTAAATATCAGTTCAGAGTACCCACCCTTTTTGGAGTCCCTGGGATGAGTGCTAGATAGTGCTCCATCAGGGAACTCCATTGTCCTACTGGGGGACTTCAATGCTCACGTGGGCAATGACAGCATGACCTGGAGGGGTGTGATTGGAAGGAACGGCCCGCCTGATCTGAACTCGAGTGGTGTTTTGTTATTGGACTTCTGTGCAAGCCGCAGTTTGGCCATAACGAACACCATGTTCGAACATAAGGATGCCCATCGGTACACTTGGTACCAGGGCAGCCTAGGTCGCAGGTCGATGATTGACTTTGTAGTCTTATCATCTGACCTACGGCCGTATGTTTTGGACACCCGAGTGAAGAGAGGAGCGGAGCTGTCAACTGATCACCACCTGGTGGTGAGTTTGATCAGATGGCAGGGGAAGATGCTACATAGACCTGGCAGACCCATATGCATAGTGAGTGTCTGCTGGGAACGCCTGGCAGAAGAACCTGTCAAGACGGTCTTCAACTCCCACCTCCGGCAGAGCTTTGACCACGTCCTGAGAGCAGTGGGGGACATTGACTCCGAGTGGGCCTTGTTCCACTCTGCGATTGTTGAGGCGGCTGCTGTTAGCTGTGGTCGCAAGGTGGCCGGTGCCAGTCATGGTGGCAACCCCCGTACCCGCTGGTGGACACCAGAGGTTCGGGTAGCCGTCAGGCTGAAGAAGGAGGCCTACAGGGCATGACTGGTCTGTGGGTCTCCGGAGACAGCAAACAGGTTCCGGATATCCAAGCGGGGTGCAGCAGTGGCAGTTGCCAAGGCAAAATCTCGGGCGTGGGAGGAGTTTGGTGAGGCCATGGAGAAAGACTATCGATCGGCTCCAAAGAGGTTCTGGCAAACTGTCCGGCGCCTCAGGAGAGGAAGGCAGCAACTCGCTCACACTGTTTACAGTGGGGATGGGGAGCTGCTGACGTCAACTGAGGCTATAGTCGGACTTTGGAAGGAATACTTAGAGGAGCTCCTCAATCCCTCCTACGTGCATTCCGAGGAGGAACCAGAGCCAGGAGACCTGGAGATGGACTGTCCAATCTCAGGGGCAGAAGTTGCTGAGGTAGTCAAACAACTACACAGCGGCAGAGCCCCGGGGTGGATGAGATTCGTCCTGGGTATCTCAAGGCTATGGATGTTGTAGGGCTGTCGTGGTTGACAAGTCTCTGCAACATTGCGTGGTAATCAGGGGCAGTTCCTGTGGAGTGGCAGACTGGGGTGGTGGTCCCCATCTTTTAGAAGGGTGACCTGAGGGTGTGTTCCAACTATAGGGGGATCACACTCCTCAGCCTCCCTGGAAAAGTCTACTCCAAGGTACTGGAGAGGAGGGTCCGATCGATAGTTGAATCTTAGATTGAGGAGGAGCAATGTGGTTTTCGTCCTGGCCGTGGAACTGTGGACCAGCTCTATACCCTTGCAAGGGTGATGGAGGGGGCATGGGAGTTTGCCCAACCAATCCACATATGTTTTGTGGATTTGGAGAAGGCTTATGACCGTGTCCCCAGGGGCTCTCTGTGGGGGACGCTCCAGGAGTATGGGGTGGGTGGCTTTTTGTTAAGGGCCATTCAGTCCCTTTACCAGAGGAGCGTAAGTTAGGTCCACATAGCTGGTAGTAAGTTGGACCTGTTCCCGGTGAGGGTTGGACTCCGCCAGGGCTGCCCTTTGTCACCGGTTCTGTTCATCACTTTTATGGACAGAATTTCTAGGCGCAGCCATGGTGTGGAGTGTGTCGAGTTTGGTGGCAGGAGAATCTTGTCTTTGCTTTTTGCGGATGATGTGGTCCTCCTAGCTTCATCCAGCTCTGACCTTCAGCTCTTGCTGGGTAGGTTCGCGGCCGAGTGTGAAGCGGCTGGGATGAGTATCAGCACCTCCAAATCTGAGACCATGGTTCTCAACCGGAAAAGGGTGGCTTGCCAACTCCAGGTCGGGAGAGAGGTCCTACCTCAAGTGGAGGAGTTTAAGTATCGTGGGGTTTTGTTCACAAGTGAGGGTAGGAGGGATCGGGAGATTTACAGGCGGATTGGTTCAGCATCTGCAGTGATGCGGACGTTGAGCCGATCTGTCGTGGTGAAGAGGGAGCTGAGCCAGAAAGCCAGGCTCTCGATTTACCGGTCAATCTACGTCCCAATCCTCACCTATGGTCATGAGCTTTGGGTAATAAACGAAAGAACGAGATCGCGGATACAAGTGGCCGAAATGACTTTCCTCCGTAGAGTGGTCGGGCTCAGCCTTAGAGATAGGGTGAGGAGCTCGTACATTCGGGAGGGACTCGGAGTAGAACTGCTGCGCCTCCGGATCGAAAGGAGTCAGTTGAGGTGGTTTGGGCATCTGGTCAGGATGCCTCCTGGACGCCTCCCTGGGGAGGAGTTTCGGGCATGTCCTGCCGGCAGGAGGCCCCCGGGTCGATCCAGGACACGTTGGAGAGGTTACGTCTCCAATCTGGTCCGGGAACGCCTTGGGGTCCTGCCGGAGGAGCTGGTGGAGGTGGCCGGGAAGAGGACGGTCTGGAGCTCCCTAGTTGGGATGCTGCCCCCGCGACCCGGACCCGGATAAGCGGAGGAAGATGACGACGATTTCAATCAGCACAGTGAATTAACCTGGTTCAGTTGCTGAGCAGAACAAAAACATGACATGGAGATGACTTGATGATGCCACAATGTCACATCTCTGGTATGAACTAAAGTAGAGAATAACTTCTGTTTTAGTTGTGTTGCATTGTAAGTAGAGGAAAGCAGGTGGGATTGCGAAAGACAAAAATCTTTCCACAACTATATTGTCAAAATAACGGTATAGGTAGGTACAATATCATATATGTTTCTAAATATATCGGGATATCGGCAAACCATAGTTATGATAACTTGACTTGTACACTGAAAAAGTCTTGAAAATGTCCTGGAAAAGTCCTGGAAAATAATTTCAAGAAAAGAGTGGGAACCCTGATAAAACACACTTGCCTACCAGAAAAAGTCATTCGCTCTCATCTTCCTCCTGCGCACTAAAGCCATTAAAGTCCTCTTCTTCAGTGTCTGAGTTGAACAGCCTCAGAAGAGCTTCGTCACATACCTTTTCTGTGGCGATGTCAGTGTCGCTGTCCGTGTTGCTGTCATCCTCCCCGGGTGAAGCTGGCTTGAATGAGTTCTTCCCGCTGCCGTCTCCAGCGCCAAACCATGGATTCATTAATGCCAGGCTTACGTGCGGCAGCACTGTTTCCCTCCTTTACTGCCAGATCGATGGCCTTCAACTTAAATGCGGCAACATATGAACTCATACGTGTAGTTACCATGATGAGGGGGTATGGATTTGAAACAAAGTCTTCGTCGTGCCGGCTGCTTGCATGTGCTAAATTAAAATGAGCACTTTCTTCGATTTCCACTTTTGACTTCCACCTGTTTCACTTTCTGCTAAAGCGCCCCCTAGTGGCAGGTGAAGGAAAATCTTCAGTAAAGCCGCACCTCATCATAAGCCGCACGGTTCAAAGCATGGGAAAAAAGTAGCGGCTTATAGTCCGGAAAATACGGTAATCTTTGTTTCTATGGTTGTGATTGTATCATGTTGCGAAACAAAACATTAACTTTCCCTGAAAGAAGGTAACTAGCTACCCACGGTACATTAAACACCCAACAGGTTGTCATATTCCTGTTTTTTAACAGCTGGACGAGAAAAAACTGTGATGTGCCTTTTTTCCAACATTGTGCAACCCTACTGAACCTTTGGTGTTTGGGGGTCAGATTATTAGATTGTTACAGTAATTTGGATCAAAGTGAACTCTTTACTTGACTCTCGTCTTTTTAATTTTGTGCTTTTCTTCTCGCAGGTTCAGGAAGTTTCCAGGCGAGCCCCAGGCCCAGTGGTCAGGATCCAAATCTGTGGACTGTAGAGGAAGTGATGCAATATGTTCGCGATATTGACCCGGTGCTTGCCCCACATGCTGACCTTTTCAGGAAACATGTAAGTACCAAACAGGGTCTGGCTCTTAAAACAAGTTTATGTGGAGTTTAACCAATTTGTGGTGCTTTAAAAATCTGCCCGTTAATCATAAAATCTAAGTGATTCCAGGCACACAGCCCTGAGGAGTTAGAGCCATGAGTTAAAACATCCTTTTCTCTCTTTGTTGCAGGAGATTGATGGTAAAGCCCTCCTGTTGCTGCGCAGCGACACCATGATGAAATACATGGGTTTGAAACTTGGCCCCGCCCTCAAACTCATCTTCCACATCGATAAGCTGAAACGGGCTTGAGGAGGTTCTCCACCAATGTGGCCTTCAAAAGGACTTTTCTCTCCCCAACTTCCCCGTTTTAGAGTCAGTAGATCACGCACTTCCTGACAGACATGAACCGACCATTTCCATGTAGCAACGTCCAGCTCACCTCCATATCTGGTCTCCATTGTTCCTTCATCGCCTCATAAAATGAGGAGTGTTTTAATTTGTGTAGCACAATCCAACTCTTAAGGCAGTATGGGAAACGTAGGATCACCGGCTGCCCTCTCATCAGATCTGCATTTCAGTATAACTTGAAATCCGGTGTGACTATTTTAAATATGTTAAATTCATCCTGTACATTTCATTTTTCTACTTCATGAATATATGGATATGTATTTTTCGATATTTCGTGTTGTATTGTGTGAAAAGAGCAGAAACCCCTAAAGGAGGAAAAGAAACATTTCATTCATCCCAATAATTGGGAACTTTTCTAATAGTCTCGGTTTGAGGCATCGTTTTTGCAATTTCAAGCTAAATCCTGGAGGGGAAAACATGTTTTATAAAGTTAAAAAGGATAAAGTTTTATTCTAAAAAAATACTGCCATGAGAAAAGCTGTTATATTATTTTATCCTGAATGTTTACAATGCCTTGTCATGTCTTTGTTATTTGTACTTTTTTTTAGTTTTTTATACTATATTATTAATGTTCCAATGTGGAAAAATCCTGTAATCAACTTGTTTAATAAATGTATAATTCCACAGATTTATTTTTTTTTATTATCGCTTGTTTCTTTTTGCCCTGAAATGTCACATCGCAGCATGTATTTAAATTAAAACATTTATTTTTTTCTGGATCATTTGATAAAAATGTATTTATTTAAAAACGTTTTCGAGCTAAAACCTTAAAATGCACGCAGATCAATAATTCACCAGCAGAGGGCAGCATAACCCTTTTTCAGTAATTTCTCCCTCTGCAGTGCATTGCCATGGGTGGTCATCTTTCCATCTGGTTGTCTCAGCGCGATCATTTGATATTTTTATACCATGTACCTACTTCACAAGGGTTTGTTCCAAATATTAGAGTTTTTCCTGTCGGGCTCCAGAATTATTCCTTTAAATCATTCCTGCTGAACTCCTAAGGACTATCAGGATTGAGAAATCATGCCTTCTCCTTGTGCAATAAAATCAAAACCCATCTTTATGCAAATCCATAAAATTCAAGAGGATTCCAGCATCGTTCAAGATGTCTGCTTGATTGAAGAGCCACTTGAAGAGTTAGTACAAAAAATCAGGTTTCTGCCTAATAAACCAGAAAACTAGTGATATTTCAGTCGATTAAGAAATATGGGCTGCTGTCAGCTTAACATTTGAATTTGCTAAAAAAAATATTAAGACATTTGGTCATATCTGAATATCTTTTTGACATTTATCCCAAAATATTTTATTTTTGTGTGCTTAAATTTTTCTTTTTAGCATCATGACAAGTTTTTTTATGCTGAATGTATAAATGACCCCTTTGCTGATTTTAAATCAATCCTTCCACACATTCAGAGTTTCTACTGAATAAATGATTAACCACACATCAAACATGACACATTAAGCTAAATCCTTGAAATGAAAATGAGAACAGGTGTGTGAATGGAGCAGCTGCTTTCCTTGTGTGATCCTGAAAATGCAGTTAAGAGAAGGAAAATAAACAATTTAACTTTGGAAGCCACCTTTTCCAATCTTTTTCCATGCCTGCTGTTTAAAAAAGATGTAACACATTATAGCCGACTCATTTAATCTTTCAACATTAGTTTTGTGCAGGTTTACTCATTATTTACTACTAATATTACTGCTACTATTACAGCTGCTCTTATCATTATTACTACTGCTATTAAAGCTGCTATTATCATTATTACTACTGCTATTAAAGCTGCTATTATCATTATTACTACTGCTATTAAAGCTGCTATTATCATTATTACTACTGCTATTAAAGCTGCTATTATCATTATTACTACTGCTATTAAAGATGCTATTATCATTATTACTACTGCTATTAAAGCTGCTATTATCAATATTACTACTACTACTATTACAGCTGCTGTTATCATTATTACTGCTATTAAAGCTGCTATTATCAATATTACTACTACTACTATTACAGCTGCTGTTATCATTATTACTACTGCTATTAAAGCTGCTATTATCACTATTACTACTGCTGTTAAAGCTGCTATTATCATTATTATTAGTGAACTTGAAACATTATTATTATTATTAATCATTATATTCATATCCTTGTTTTGTTTTAGTATCGGGAACAGTATGTTTTTTTTTTTTTACTTTTTTTTTTACTTTTTCATATTTTAAATCATTTTCTTGAGCCAGTATGTGCTAAAATGACTTTACAGTGTTAATGAAATGTCACTCGGACCCCCACCGCCCTTTGTGGTCAGAATAGACCCTTTTACTGTTTGTAAACAATATGACGTCAGCGAGAATGCGCGCGCAGCTTGGCAACAGAGAATGGCGTTGTTTCAGGCTTTATCAAGCTACGCTGTGGGGTTATCACCGGCAAATCTCGAATATTATATTATTAAACTCACTTTAACGAATGGCAACAGACTAATGGATCCCTGTGGCATTACGGAATGGGTGGAAGATGTAGGTGCGTGGCCAGATATCCTATGCTATATATATACGTTTTTAGCGGAGAGGCCCAGTAAGTACACACGTGAGAAGCTACGGGCATACAAATCGTTAGATGCATACAACTATGTTGTCTGTGGCCACGTACAGAAAGTAAAATATCACGACATAGACTCTGAGTTTTGCGTCTTGAAGGCAGAAGTCCTTCCTAGCCAAAGACAAGGACACAAGACTGCTATGTACGAGGCTTGGGTCATAGTAAACAAACCAGAGAACTACGTCTTCACAGCCAACTGTACCTGCATGGCAGGGTGAGTATAGCATAGGTTTCTTTTTTAGCGTGCTCAGAGTACAATCGTGTTCATTTTAGAGAAATACAGTTTATACTAATATGCAGTGGGAAAATACAGATGAATTAGAATGAAATGTTAATTTGAAGCATGAAATAAAGCATATAAATTTTTACGTAATCTTAGTACATAATTACCTTACCTGATATAAAATGGGCGCTACAAACTCGAGCATTTCGGATCGTGTTTTCAGTCCAGTTTTCATCAACCCTTTTGATGGCCTGCAGCAACAGACGCCTCCGATTTGGTTGAAATGGATTTGCTCCCTTCGGAATTCTGTAGTTTCAGTCCACTGCTTGAAGAGAAGCGATTCTGGCATCCATACACGCAACAACCCGACATTTTTATGTGCTCAGAACTTCAAAACAAAGGGTTTAAAACGCTGTTTTAGTATCGAGTGTGAATGAGGAAGCCATCAGTCTCGTTGCCAGGCTGCGCGTGCAACTTTTGATGACGTAGGTAGTAAAAGGGTCTATATGACATTTGCAACTTCAGAGTGCCAGTTCGGTTTGTTGAGCTGACATACCTGGCCCTGCAGTCTGCTTCCAGCACTTTTCCTGCATGTTTTAGCTTATGAACTCAGCTGATTTGTTTAATTTGGTGACAAACCGCTCCTGTAGACATTTCAGCTTTCAGATTAAGGTGGTAAAAAGACGAAAGCACAGCAAGGAGGTTTTACAAATGGACACTAGGGGGTGCTAAGAGCAAGCCAAATTTTCCTAGTCTCCCATTAAAGTCACACAATAGTTTTGTAAACTTCAAACTAGAGCTTTAACATTGATCTCTGATTGTTGCGTCAGTAACTTGACCAGTTTCACATTTGACACCACTCTGCAGCCCTCCCCTGGCCAGATACTGCACCTAATAGTTTCGAGAGTAGAGCTGCACAATGTTAGATTTGAGCAGACAGGATACAAAGTCACGGACTGATGATGACCTATCTTTGTTGCTACTGGACATGTAAGTAATAATATTTTTCGTCCAACAGTGTGGATCTTTTTACTTTGTGGTTTATTTTTGTATTAATTGGCTCATGTTGTTGGGCTGCGGGGTGGCGTAGACGTTAGAGCTGTTGCCTTGCAGCAAGAAGGTCCTGGGTTCGCTTGCTGGCCTGGGATCTTTCTGCATGGAGTTTGCATGTTCTCCCTGTGCATGCGTGAGTTCTCTCCGGGTACTCCGGCTTCCTCCCACAGTCCAAAAACATGACTGTTAGGTTGATTGGTCTGTCTAAATTGTCCTTAGGTGTGAGTGTGTGTGCATGATCGTTTGTCCTGTGTCTCTGTGTTGCCCTGCGATGGACTGGCTCGCTGTCCAGGGTGTACCCCGCCTGATTGCCCATTGACCGCTGGATATAGGCACCATTCCCCCCAGCAGACCCTTCCTGAGATGTGGACATCATTTAAGGTTGGACAGAGTGGGAACCAGCAGCACCACCACCACTTTTTCACAAGACACTTTGGTTCATTCAGGATTTCTTATTTTTACTGAAATAAGCTAGATCTTTATGTAAATGAGGTCTATTGAACATAAATTACCAAAATTGACACCGCCATCACCACTCAGGCCTTTAAAATCCTTGTCCCAAACACCACCTGTCACTTTTCAGAAGCTGATTTAACATCCATAACAGAACATTATATCTAATATTATGATAAAACACAGACGTACTCAAAATTTACTCAGAAAAAGTTACAAAACTGTGTCTAAAAATGTTATTTGTTCCAGTTTGCAAATATATTCCTTGAAAATGTTTAAAAGAAGGTGTCGAACTCCCTGAACAGATCAAGTTTCACTGATCAGAAACATTTCTTAGTGTGGAGGGAAAATAAGACGTACGGTTAGATGAATCTAAAGTTCATGTTTCTGGTAAAATATATTTTTTAGATTGACTTCTAAAGAAGCAACTCTTCACAAAACAAAAAACCACACCTGAGTCAAAACAGGAAGGCAGACCACAAACTGTTGTCAACGGTGACCAAATCCGATACAGTGTGTGTGCGTGCGTGCGTGCGTGCGTGCGTGTGAGAGAGAGAGAGAGAGAGAGAGAGAGAGAGAGAGAGAGAGAGAGAGAGAGAGAGAGAGAGAGAGAGAGAGAGAGAGAGAGCATATGACACACACACACATCTGTGCCATGTTTGTTTTGCTCTGACACGTGACAAGCAAGGGGCTCGTGGCTGATGCCTGAGCTTGTTGATGTGAAATAGTAGCCAGTGTTGTTGTGCACCAAGCCACAGCTATATATAGAAGTAACAGCTCCTTGTCATGTGTGTTGTGTTTCTGAGGGTTGTGGAGTCAACTTTCATTTCAGTTCTTAACGTTATTTATTGTGAGATTTATTTTCTTCTTTTTCTATTATCAGCCTTTTTGGCTGTCACATACAGTAACACCCGGGAAACCCTGCCTTTGATATTTACCGGTAACGTGCAGAGTTCCTCTGTTTGACACCCCTTTTAAAATCACAGTTTTATTACGTACAAAAGAAAGTTTTGTGGGCTTGCAGATCAGGCGTCACTAAAAACAGAAAATGACCTTCACATTTAGGCATAAAACTGCCACTTTTTTTCTTCTTCTTCTGCTGAACAAGCCCTGGGTGTTGCATTCGGCAGACAATTGTGGATACAGTTTGAAAGTCATAACCCAAAAATAATTTGTTCTTCCTGGACAGATAGCACTTGAATTCCCAAGCGTCCCAGTGTGCTTTAAGAACAAAGACTTTGGATTTCTCTGTTCATCTGATCCTTGGGATTTTCCTGTCATTTATATACTCATCAGACTC